TGGTGATTTTTTATTTTTTTTCCATATCGCAATATATATAACAGAAAAACAAATTATCGCAATGTGAGTTTTTTCCCAATATCGTGCATCCCTTTTTTCAAATGTGAAAAGCTCTCACCTTGATTAACTGCAACTTGATGCTGGAATATCAGCTGATGTCTGTGATGACACATGATCTGTTTGACCGAGTTAAGGGAACTGCGGATCATTGTGCAGTAAGAAAGCCTGAATGCTAAAGCATCATTAAAAAAATACATAAATAAAGCATCATTGGCATGTTTAATGCAATTTATTGATAAGTATTTTTATTGTTAAATGGCAATGTATCAATAATATGGCTTTAAACTGAGTACAACAACAGCAACAGGTGATGCTGAATTGTGTCAGCTACACATTGAAAGGAAAATTTACAATTGAAATCTCCCATGTTACTATCTACTGACACCACTGCAGACTGGTTTGGATCAAATTTCAAATATTAAAGTGCTTGTATGCAATTTTGAAACACTAAAATTCTTACCAAATCAAACTATGCTATGATTTTTATAACCAGTGGCTTGCTAAAAACATAATCAATATTAATGCTGCTAAAGCAGACTGACTGTTCAAGTTTTACGTGGAGGATCTGAAAGCTCGTTATCATGATGAGAAGAGAATCATTAAAGACATCCTGAAGGTGAGTGAGTCAGTGTTTGACATCAGATTAGTGCTGAAGCCCTTGATGAAATGTGCGTGTGTTCGTGCAGGATAAGGGCTTACTGGTGGAGGTCAACACAGGCTTTGAGGAGTTTGGCTCAGTGATCAGTTCAGATAAACGTGCCACCACGCTGGATGCAGGAAACATCAAACTGGCCTTCAACAGTGTAAGCAGACTGCCTTGCTGTTATTCATACTTTTATTCAAATGACATTGTTCCAAAATGTAATGAAATGCCCAGTTACATATAAAGGCACCAAATTATGCTTATGAAGGCTGTACTAAGCTAGTCCCACATGTACAAGAGAAGGGAGTGGTAATAATAAAGCTGAATTTTCAGCATCATTACTCCAGGCTTCAGTGTCACATGATCCTTCAGAATCATTCTAATATGCTGATTTGCTGCTAAAGAAACATCTCTGATTATTATCATCATATGTTGAAAACAGTTGTGCTGCTTATATTTTTGTGGAAATTGTGATACAATACCATTCAGAATTTTGGGGTTAGAATGACACTTTTATTCAGCAAGGGTGCATTTCATTGATCGAAAGTGATCAAAATGACCATAAATACATTTATAACGTTACAAAAGATTTTTCAAATAAATGCATTTCTTTTGAACTTTTTATTCATGAAAAAGTCCTGAAAAAATGCATGGTTTCCACAATGTTTTCAGTATATAACCATTAATGATAACCATTACTAACAACTGAAAGAAGAGACTTCTTTCAAATACATTTAAAAATCTTAATTATTACAAACCTTTCCAAACAGGTAGTGTACTTGTGAAGAACTACAATATGTTAAGAGCATAAGGAAAGACAAATATGCTTTTAAAAAGACACATAAATGTTTAGCTCATAGTCATTAGGGCCTTTCGCACCGCTTTAGTTCCAGAACTAAATGTACAGTACTAAAGTACTGGGACGATTTTGCGGGAACTATTTCCCAGTAATACTAATCCCCTGTGAATAGGGCTTTAGTAACACATACAGCTGTTCCCTCACCACAGTGCAACACCCCTTTCAAACAGTGTCGCGTTCCGAACGTTGATTAAGTGACATATTTCGGTATGTATTGCGGTATTTTCAAAATTCACATCGTAACAAAAATAAAAAACGGTATTCGGTATGAACCGGTATACCGCCCAGCACTACTATACAGTACATTTTAAACGTCGTGTAAAACACCTAAAATTATGAAACTGAAAGTTAAAAACAAAAGAAGAGTAGAAGAATTAAAATCACTGAAATGTATAATAGAGGAATTAAAAGATGAATAAATATGTACACAAGTACAAAAGCAAGGCTAGCTAATACTATTTATATAAATTCATGGCATTTAAAAGCAACTTTTTCTTTTTTTAAGGCCTTCGGTTGAAATCCCCAGTTGTCAACAGTGATTGGGTAGTGAATTTTGGGCTAGTTCCTTTAATCTGATTTTATGGCAAATGTAAGATGGAATTTTGTGTATTTTTGTATTTAGTACGGCTTATTTAGCTCTATTGTCTAATAAAATTGTGACGGTGAGGAAATTTTCCCACCGGTTAATCGACATGTGACAACACCGATAATACCGGTATCACCGCGGGGGCTTTTCCTCTCTTTCCTTCACTTTTAAATAGCTTGTAAAAGCAGTGTGCGCATTTTACTTTCACTTTCAAATAGCGGCAATTCGGCATAAAGCAATTGTTCGTTTTTAGTTCGTTTGAATTTTCCCTCTTTTCCTCGCTTTCCTTTGCTTTTAAATAGCTTGTAAAAGCGCCGTGCGCATTTTACTTTCACTTTCGAATTAGCGGCAATTCGGCGTCAATTGCTTGAATGCAACAACAAAATACAACATCAAACTCACTTTAGCCTATGTATAAAACATATAACTTTTATTAACAAACCGAATAAAAATACACCATGCTATAGGGCAGGCTATGCCTAATATAAAATAACAAATAACTTACATAAAGTTTAAATGGGTAGTCTATACAAAACTGGAAATAAGTAAACATAACCAAATAAATAAGAAACATAGAAAGTTTATTAGCAAAATGAGTAAGAAAGCTTGGAGGCACGGCATACACCTTGATGTCAAATAAAATAAATAAATGACACAAAGTTTAAATAAAGTAAAAATCAGCAAATAATGTGGAACCAATTAAATAAGAAACAAATGTTTAAAAAAAACGTCCAAAATCACCTTAGATAAACGGCAAAAGTCAACAGGCACTTTTGCATCTCGTTTCGAAACTAAATCATCAGCGATCATCTTGTCTGTCTCACCTCACTCTTCTTGTCAGTCAGCGGCAAGTGACGTAACCGGTGTTGCGGCTTAACAACGGTATCACCGTCAGCACCGTCTATCGCAGCAAGCCTATTGTCTAATGCACTTTGCGTGCTGTCTGTGTGAGTTGCTGCTTTTGTTGAACTGTTCAAATCAGTCGCTTATGAGGTTTCAGTTTTGTGTTTCAGTTCAGTGTTGCCTACGTGGACCTCAGAAATGTGTTTGATCTGTTTAGTTGCTGGAGAAGGCTGAAGCACGTGAGAGGGAGAGAGAGAAGGAGGAGGCCAGGAAGATGAAGAGGAAGGAGGCGGCGTTTAAGAGCATGCTGAAACAGGCCACACCCCCTCTAGAGCCTGAGGCCACATGGGAGGGAGTATGTCATGCTATTACAATAAAATATCAATGGTTATATAATTTGTGAACCTGGAGCACAAAAGCAGTCTTAAGTCGCTGGGGTTGCACCCTCAGATTCCAGATTTTCAAATAGTTGTATCTCGGCCAAATATTGTCTGATCCTAACAAACCATACATCAATGGAAAGCTTATTTGTTCAGCTTTCAGATGATATATACATCTCAATTTTAAAAAATTACCTTATGACTGGTTTTGTGGTCCAGGGTCACATTTATCTGTTAGCTAGACTGTATTATCTTCCTCCACTGGTCTGGTGTGAATGATGTGTGTTGATGCTGACTCAGGTGCGAGAGCGGTTCCTAAAAGAGCCTGCGTTTGAGGACATCACGCTGGAGTCCGAGAGGAAGAGGATATTCAAAGACTTCATGCACGTGCTAGAGGTATGAAAGAATTATTAATGTTTTTACAAGAGTTTTTAAAGCAACCAGATTCATATTTAAAAGAATTGACTCAGGGCTGGAATTCCGTTTTTTTTTTTTTTTTTTTTTGGGCTTAAAATCATGAGCCACGTGAATCATGAATCATGTAAATCAACACAGTACTGTGTTTTCAGTGTCGATTCTTTGCTGTATTTGAGTCGCTTTAATTTGCATTTGGGAACGCAACATGCATCCCTAGAATCGTTTATAAATCTTTTGTTGTTTACAAAGAGAGGATTCAGTGTCACATGATCCTTCAGAAGTCATTCTAATATGCTGATTTGCTGCTCAACAAACATTTACTGTTTATTATTATCAATGTTGAAAACAGTTTTTGGTGCTTAACATTTTTGTGGAAGCAATGGTACCACTCAAACATTTGTGGTAAGATTTAAAAAAAAAAAAGAGAGAGAAATTAATAATTGTATTCATCATACATTAAAGTGAGTGAAAAGTGAAGACATTTAAAGTTACAAACGATTAATATTTAATAAATGCTTTGATACATTTAAACAGTGCATTTGAAAAATGCAAATAAATGCTGTTCATTGAACTTTCTATTCATCAAAGAATCCTGAAAAATAAAATGTATCACCATTTCCACACAAAATATGAAGCAGCACAATTATTATCTGATTGATAATAATCAGAAATGTTTCTTCAGCAGCAAATCAGCATTTTAGAATGATTTCTGAAAGATCTGGAGTAATGATGCAGAAAATTCTGCTTTGCATCGCAGGAATAAATTATATTTTATAGTATATTCAAATAGAAAACCTTTTTTTATATATATATTTCACAGTATTGCTGTTTTTACTGTATTTTTGATCAAATAAATGCAGCCTTGGTGAGCAGAGGAGATTTATTTCCAAATTGTTTGTTGATTATTAAATGCTGCTTTTTATTTTTACAGGACAATAGTATGTATTACAATATAAGATATATCTTTTAATGTGATAAAATATATATTTTATTTTTAAATAATAAGTGTGGGGGGCGTGGCTTGGGGATGAGGTTGGATTTTCCTGCTTTTTTGTCTCTAGCTGATCACATGCCTGTGTACCGCATTTAACATATGAACAAATATGTGTGACAAGACAAACTGTACATATCTAAACTATTTTAAAATTAAAATTAATCTTGGAAAGTCTTTCAGCTAAAGCAGTGGTTATGTCTGTGATCTCTCTCTTCAGCACGAGTGTCAACATCATCATTCAAAGACTAAGAAACATGCCAAGAAATCCAAGAAACACCACAGAAAACGTTCCCGATCTCGATCAGTGAGTACTTGCTCTAGCCGTCTCATTTCATACCTGCAAACTCGCCGCCGTTGACATAGCCATGCCTTTATATGAATGTATCGCTGGAAAGAACTGACTGTCTTCAGAAATGTTTTGATGGCATTTTCTTTTCTCCTTCATAACTACTGTATAATGCCTAATACAGTGCAGCACTGCTTTATGTACCGGCATAACTGCTGTATTCCTGCTTTTCCATGTGCTGCGCCTACTGTCAGTAGCTTCACAGTAATAAACTGGAGAATAAAAGAATCACTGATGCAAACTTCAATGCATATGAGACAAATCCAAATTCTGCTGTAAAGCAGCTCTAAAAAGACAATGGTGTCATTATTCAGCTGCAGGCAGTTCAGTGTTGATTCAGTTCAATAGCTGTTCAATAACTGTAAAGTTCATCAATTATGAAACATTCAATGAAGCTTTTAGCAGCTCTATAGAAGGCAACAGTGTCGTTATTCAGCTCGAGTCAGTTCAATGTTGATTCAGTTTAGATCAACAGCAATGTTTTGGGATTTGTCAGTTTGTCAAACAAATTCAAGTTTAGTTAAAAATGGTCTTCTACAGAAGACAGTAGTTTCATCATCCATCTCAATTCAGTTTGTTCTGTTCTTATTCAAGTCAGACCAATTATATATAAAACACAATCATTTTGAATCTTAGAAAATGGTTTAAAGGTTGAAATGTGAGGTTTATTTTATAAAATGTTGTCTGTTTTTGTCTTGTGCTATTTGAACTGTAAAGTTATTTAAAATGATCGTTTTACAGTTTACGGTGTTGCCCTAGACTGATTTTGTTTTTGTAATATCAGAATTTTCTGAAAAGATTTCAACTGCTGATTCCAGTAAATTTTGTAGAAGAAAAAACAAAACAAAAGTAGGCCTAATAATGAGTGTTATTTGTATTGTGATCCGGTCTGGAGATTTGAGGTGTGACACGTTCTCGCTCATCCTCCTAAACTGTGTCCTGTGTGTTTGTTCACGGAAGGGCTCGGAGTCAGAGGATGATGAGTATCACTCGAAGAAGAAGAAACTCTCTGCATCTAAATCTCCATCCGAGCACTCGTCCTCTGGGGAGTCTGGTCAGTGTCGTTTAGGATCGATATCAGTGTCCTGCACAACACATCAATGCTGAATACATCATGAGCGTTTAACAGCAGCCTCTCAGTGACCATCATGTGATCTTGATCTTTACAGAGAGGAGTTACAAGAAATCTAAAAAACACAAGAAGAAGGGAAAGAAAAGACGACACAAATCGGTGAGTAGAGAACAACTGAACTACTTTAATACCTTTTCCTTGTGCATTCACGGAGTCAATTGATGAGTCTGACTTACTAAATAACCTGCACACAGACAAACGTAAGTCTTGCTTGTGTTTAGATCTGTTTAGATTGAGGAATGTTAATTTGATCTCTCAATCATCATTGCGTTGTATTGCATGGTATTTTCTAGAGGTCGACCGATGTATCGGTTTTGCCGATTAATCGGCACCGATAGTTGATTGCTGGAACTATCGGTTATCGACAAAAATCCATGCCGATAGTTTTCCCGGGTTGCGGCCATTGCTGGTGCGGCTGAGAAGGGTCTGCTGTCATTACACAGTGTGAGAGCGGCATCTAGTGGTTGAAATCATTGACAGCACGTGCTATTTGTTTAGACACGTGATACTGCACGCTGAACAGAGCGGGAAACTTCAGACGCGGATTTAAATGCAGCCGACAGAAAATCCTGCCGCGCCACAGAGCGCCATTCACATAGTTTTCCTTTAAATTACATTATATTGGTCCCGAATCGTTGTTAATGTACATAATGAATTGTGTATTGTGCATTTTCAGCAAAACGTTTGTCTTTCTGTGGCTCTAATAAAGTCTGTGTGCTTCATTTATAGAGCTATAATATAGGTCGCGCTTTCTCTTTCCGTTTGCTCCGTTTTTTAAACACCGAACTTCAAACTCATCTATACCAAATTGTTCATTCTTGAAGTAAACTTGTGTCTGTTTGGTGATTAAATAAACTGTTTTAGACCGCTGCTCGAGTTGAACACGACGCGTCCGGAGTGTGTGTGATACCGGTGAGTTCTCCTAGACTCAGCGCTGCGCTTTTATTTTGATTAGATAATCATCAAGTGTTCAAGAATAGAAGAAGTTAAAGTGTGAGAGTATACATACAATATCCATATGTATATAATTTTAATGCTATAGCCTTTGTGTATATATTTAAAGATGTGCATCTTTAAGCATGACAGTTGAAATGAAATGGTAACACTTTAAAATAAGAGTCCATTTGTAGCATTAAGATTAATGAAAGCTGTGTAAGTATTGTTCCTTGTTAGAGTGTGTTAATTTCAACATTTACTATTACTATTATTTTTATTATTTTTACTACTACTAGTATGGTTCAGTACTGGTTTTGTTAATAAAGCACTATTTTAGTTTTTGTTCAGTATCAATTTTAAAACAATTGGTTAATTAATCGGTATCGGCCAGTGTGGTCCAACCTAGCTATCGGTATTGGCAAAATCCACTATCGGTCGACCTCTAGTATTTTCAACCCCCACAATAAAAACTACACAGCTTTGATCATAAAACTAAGCATTTAAGTAACATTTTACTGAGACATAATTTTTAGGAGATATAGAGTGAAAACTTTTAAATGCTTTTTATGCAAGTAGTCCGTTTTACTGTTACAGAGATCATTGATTTACATTACAAGCTGTCAGAATTTCAATTTGCTTTTTGGCCATATGAATATCAGCATCTTCACCAAATTTCATATTTCTGCTCAGTTTGGGCCTCTAAATAAAATGAGGTGTTTTTCCTCCTTGAGTATGAGCTCCATATTCTCCGTATCACTATATGAGCCGCAAAAGCCATATGATACTCAACTAAAACACGTCAATTTATTTTTATTTTGTCTAAAGGTTGAATAAATGTTCTTAAAAAAAAAAGAAAGGCTGTTCATATTGCATTGTGTAGTATAGCGTTGCATTTAGTTGTAATCTATGGTAATTCAATATGAAAATGCACTGTTTTACTATTAGCAGCTGTTTTGTTTAGTATATTTAAGCATATAATTGGGACTTAATGATTATACTAGTGTTTGAATAATGCTCATTTTATGTAGAGTTGGAACCAGAAGTGGTTGAATTCCTTTCAATTTTTACTAATGAAGGATGTTTTATATTTGTTGAATTGGAATAATTAAATTCTGCCTTATAAAGATCTCAAATTACTTTAGTTGAATTACCTGTTAAAGAAGGGCTTTCTCCATCATTTATTGATAAAGTGTCTATGAGTGTTTATTAAATAGGAATATGAGTGTTTATTAAATACCCAGAACCGTAGTCTATTCCTTAGATTATGTTCAGGTCTATGGTGCTACATGTTTACTCACATTCATTAAATAACAGTTTTATAAAGTGTATAACTCTAAATGGCTATTATAGGATAATGAGCAATAGGGGGAATATCACGTTTTTTTTTTGCAGGCCTCCCCTGAGTCTGAAGGAGAGAAAGAGCGGAAAGGAAGAGAGAAAGAGAAGGATAAAGAGAACGACAAATCCAGAGGGAAGTCACGTGGAGAACCCAAACAGAAGTCCCCCAAAAGAAAGAGTACAAAAGAAGAGGTAAGCGGCCATATCTGAGACGGATCACATCTGCTTTCTTTTGTAGTGTCTCATTTACTCACACCCAGATGTGATCTGATTCCCTCTCAGGGTGGATGGGATACGTCCGGAAGCGAACTGAGTGAAGGAGAGCTGGAAAAGAGGAGGCGCACTCTTCTGGAGCAGCTTGATGCACCATAAATCACTCACTGTCAGTATGTCTCTCTCTCACTTGCATTCCTGTAATGTGTTTTGCATCCTTTTGCAATGTCCTGACAGAATATCGATGAGCATCTGAGCGTTGGGTATTTGCCTGTGGATCCATTGACTGTCATGTAGTCTCTCTGAGAGGCAGTATTGTCTGAACATCAGCACTCTTGATCTGGGCTTGTTTGATTTTGTAAGATTATTTGCAGAGGTTGCAAGTGATATGTTGCCTTTAACTGCAGAACCTTTTTTTTAGGTAGCTGTATATTTGTTATTGCCAATAGTTTTAAACATTGCTGATAAAATGGGAAAAAAATGAACAGGCCTGCATAAAACACCTATTATTCAACTTCAGATTAATCTGTGAGATTGTCTGTAAAAGCCATTTTTGGAAAATGTTATCGGTATGAAAAATGTCTGCAGCATGGTTTTCAACTTGAATTTTGACAAATAAACTATAAAAACAATGCTTTATTTTGTTGCTCCTTTCTTACATTTATCAGCAAATGCACATACAGACCTACTCGTTTTCATCTGCAGTGATCTTTTTGTTGATCATGTTCACTTCAGTAACTTAAGATGTATGTTGCGGGAAGAAACATCATTAAACTGCCACTGAACTTTTAGTAGGCAGCTGAAAGAAAATATCAGGCTGTCAATTCAAGTGAAGCAACTCAATTTAATAGTGCGAGCCGTTTTTTTAAAAAGCTTAAAAGAAAACAAATGTATAAATTTTAATTTATATATAAGTTAAAAGCTTTTAATTGCGTATATGTAATGCATTAAGGGTAAGCTACAATATACAAGATACAGACGTGCCACCCTTTTGACCTAGCGAGTTGGTAACAGAGCCGTTGTTTTTGGTACAATTTGTGACTACGCAAAAAGAATTTTGTGAAAAAAATTAGATTGTGCTGGTAAAAAATGGTTTGGGCGGGTGGACAAAATTTGGGATGGTTTGGGGTCAGTTTGGCGGTTTTCAAATATCTAAACTGTATAGGCCAATTTGGTTAAAAAAACAAAACCCAAGTGTGCTTGTACTGCATCCAATCAGTCACCATGATGCAACTAAACTGGTGCTGATGTTGACGTCGCCTGCTGCACTTTTAGCCAATCACGAGAGATCAGCAGACAGACGTGATGATCAGAGTTTCTCTACGTCTCTGGACGTGATGTTTCATGAGTGATGGGTTTTTAGCGCGATAAGGGATCCGATTTTAAACTTATAGCGATCACAATGCCAGAGTGGTATAAATATAAGTTACACGCTAAAGAGTGGGAGTGACTTGACTCTAAACGTGAATACACCTGTGGAGGGAGATGACACGAAGGCTCTTAGTTGATATCAATGTAGCTGAAATCAGAGCACAGTTAAATTTAATCAAAATCGAAACTGAATATGGGACTATACGATCCTGTCCTCCATCAGAAAGCTGGTGGACTTGATTTTGACTGCAACGTTCTGTATTATGTTCTACAGTAGGCTACTTCACGAAAGACGTGCTGTATCTGTTTGAAGATAAAGTGCAACGGGCAAGCGCATTGTTGTTTTTTTTTTATTTTTATTTTTGTAATCGGATTATCGTACAGTATCAATGAATGACACAGTTTTGACTGTCATGCTGTGTGCATGAACAAGTGTGAAATACCTGCTAGTTACTTCCGATCACTTACTGGGCACTTTTCCCCAATGTATATCGGTTTCCCCAATGTATATCGGGAAGTCATGGCCTAATGGTTAGTCGGACTCGTAACCCAAAGGTTGCGGGTTCGAGTCTCGTACCGGCAGGGATTGTAGGTGGGGGGAGTGAATGTACAGCGCTCTCTCCCACCTTCAATACCACGACTGAGGTGCCCTTGAGCAAGGCACCGAACCCCCAACTGCTCCCCGGGCACCGCAGCATAAATGGCTGCCCACTGCTCTGGGTGTGTGTTCACGGTGGGTGTGTGTGTGTGCGTCCTCACTGCTGTGTGTGTGTGTGCACTTTGGATGGGATAAATGCAGAGCACTAATTCCGAGAATGGGTCACCATACTTGGCCACATGTCACATCACTTCACTTATTCTGACTGTTGACACTGAAATGATGCATGTGTTTTTTCAGAGGGTATCGGTTAATTTCTTGATTGCCGTTTTGACATAGGCTGGTGTCTACCTGCACATTTATATTTGGTAATTCTCTTTAATGTATTTGCCCAGATTTGATCTGTTTTCCTGGGAAATGAATCTTTTTTTATATTATTTTGTTATCTTTATTTTAAAAATGGTCCTTAATCGGCCTTGATTTACATGGCAATACAATTCTATATCATTATTTTGATAGGTAAAGTTTTGGGCGTTTTTTTGGGGGGGGGAGGATTGGAGGGGTTTTGGAGAGTTTTTGGGCTGGAAATCAGTTTGTGATCTCTTGCCCAGAATTAAACCCATTCTAGAGCAGGTTAGCTGTCTAGTTGAACCAATCCACATTCTTGAGGACTTAAATTTCAGCAGCACTAGGCTTTTTGGAGTACAAAATCCTACTTCTATTCACTCACTCAAGAACAACACAGAAGACCAGCATTGTGTAAATAGTTTAATTGGACATTGAGAAATCATCTAACTTTAAATCTGAGAACAGATGTTTTTTTGCAGTACTGTAAGCATACAATGCCTAAGATACATTGATTTTAGGGGACAAAAAAATGACAGTTTAATCCAGTTTTTATGAGTGGAATGTACAGAGATGAGATGGACGTCTATAATGACTATAATTCTACTACTGCATCTGATTTCTGACATGTTTTAGTGTAGACGGGACGTTCTAGAGTGATGTTTCTGCATGTGTAAAAGACCTGGTTCAGGTTTTCAGTTTTATTAAATATACAAAATGCAGGAAAAAAGAGAAAACTATAAGTTAAAATAATCAAACGTTGTAGTACAGAATGATTTTTAAACAATATTGTTTTTAAACAATATGTACAATATTAGACGATTAAAAAGTTAAAAAGATGCAACAATTGTATAGCAAAATATCTGTACATTTAACAAATGCTTTTTTTTTTGTGATTTTATATTTTTGCTTTTAAATAGACTTGCACATCAAAAGAAATGTGAATTTTCATTTGTGCAGGTCATTATAGAACCACACAAAATTCAGTTTATATAACAGGCCTTATTTCCCATGATCTGACCTAGAACGCATGAAACAAGCCCAGTTACAGCAACTGAATTCTATAAGGAACCTGATCTTGTGTAGTGAAGAACAAGTGCCACAGGGAAGAGGTTTGCTGTAGTGCTCAGCGGCCGTATACGTCACGAATGCAAGTGGCAAGTGCTTAAAATTCATTAAGGAATATTCGGTGTTCAAAACAGCATCTGTCGATTACCACAGACTATATATTCAATCCTCTGTGTATAAAACACAATATTCCATTTACCTCAATGCACTTCCAATGGAAGTCTATGGGGAAAGTGTACTAGGGGTTTAAAAGCAGACGTACTGCAAAGCTCATGTTTTTTTTAAAGCACTTTTTAGAGCTGTGATATTTTTGTAATTTTAGCACAGAGACTACTGTGGACTTGTGGTTATGTTAATGTAACTCTGGTAACTTCTGGTAAAGTCATCCAGTTACATGGCCTTGACAGGAGTGTTATACTGCTGGTTATAAAAAAATATTGGTTTTAGGACAGACAAGAAGTAACTGCTTCTCTCACAATAATCAAGTAGACATGTATTAAGTCCTGAGGTTTTCGTTTAAAAACGTTATTTCTGTGCAATGCCTTGCCCCATAAACTTTCATTTGAAGTGCTTTAATGTAAACAAATGTTTTTGTCGAGCTTTTGCACAGAGCTTCACCTGTATTAAACATGATTAATTAGTCAATGAACTTTTGAAAATGCTTGACAACTCTGACTCCATATTTTTTTTTAAGGCTGCAGAAGAATTTTATTTCTGCACTTTGGTTTAGGTAATCCTAACCAACCCACAGTTTGAGAACCAAAACCTACATGCAGTCTCGCTTGTGCAGCATTTTAATTAAGACTTGTCAACAGTCTTTCAGAAATGCGAGGTACTGGAGTTTTGCTGCATCTGGTTTATATTTCACATTTGTCTTTGTCCCAGGTACTTAACATAATTTTTTTTTCTAAAACACCTTTTCTTACACCTTCTCCTACTTAACTGGACTCCCCATTCATCTGATTCAATGGCCCAATAGTGCAACACCCCACCATGACGGTGATCGACACCTCTTTAGGGTTGGACCGACTGACTAGTCTGTTAGTTTATAAAGAATTTTAAAGGGCCTGTCCCAATACCCACACTTGCAGTCTTTGTATGTGAGCACTTGTGTACTTGCATGATGTATTTCCTGTATTTGGCCCAAGTATTCAAGTGGGCATGAAGACTGCAGGTCCCAAGTGTGTCCCATTGGGTAATCAGTGTGGAATGCGCGATTGCTCAATGGGACACACTTAGCATACAGTTTTATATATATATATATAAAAAATGTTTTTACAGAGCTTTATTTACACATTTTGATTTTCAGTACTTTGCACTTTAAAATAAACTTGTAAAGGTCTGTTCAGAAGCTCCTATGTTACATAGGAGCTTCTGAACAGACCTTTACAAATGTAATTGTGGTGCTTTGGCATTTTTCAGACCTGGGACAGTCTTGTGCACTTACTTCCTGTTGTGTACACATGCTCTCAAGTGGCCAAGACCACAAGTGTGGGTATTGGGAACATTTCAATTTACATTACAATTACAATTAACATTTAAATACCTCTACTATCAGACATCAAATCATCTTAAGTGAGGAATGTTCTTATTATTGTTATCTTTGGCCGCTGTGTCGCACCCTGCAGCATCTCAAACCATCAACATGGCATTTTTACAAAACTTTTTAAAATGCTTCTCAACCTGTATTCCATTCTGTTGGGCTCTATCTGTCTGTTTTTTAACACAAGACTGCGCCCCCTATGTGAACGCCACAATAAAAACAGGCTCTGACGAACCCTACAGGGCTTCTTTAAGACCGACCAGTAGATTAGGAGAACACACGAGTGGTCGGTTTTGATCTGTGGCGAAAGCACTGGAATGTAAGAGGCCTTTGTACAGGTTCATGATACATAAAGTGTTGGAATAGTTTTACATTCGGACACTGTCTCAAGAAAAACACTGATCTAGCCATACAATTTAAGCGCCATAAGATAAAAGACAGATCAAGACACCGTTTGTCATATAAAAATTCACAGACAGAAGACATTGACTAAAACACATGTATGATTCAACACCTGATGGGACAGATGTTAAATGTAGGCACTTGGCTTTCAGACCTGCTGTCATCTTTATCAGTCCTTCATTAGCTCCTCCTCCACTCCATACAGTCACATCTACTCTGCCCTCATCACATGACCATCTCTGCACTGTTGATTGGCCGCAAATTCTGATCATCAAAACGTCTTCGAATGCTCCTCCTGACGGCGTCAGCACGCCTGTAAGGCTGGTTTCTCAGATCTGATGCAGGAGGGACAGAATAAATTGATGTCAGTATTTGAGTTTAGATCATCTGGACATGCTGGTGGTCAACTGGGCAAAGCAGCTTGAGTTTTTACTGGATTAAGTACTTAATTTTATTTCAGCTTCTGAATTTAATGTGAATGGTAACTATGGAGTTTGCCTCTTTTTAGAAACTTGTTTTCAACAAGGTTGTTGGGAAAACACTCACAGTGGCCCCAAAATGTATTTGAACTCTTTAAGTCACACAATAAAATGTCTGAATGTCACTGCATTATGTGACAAAATATCACCGCTCAAACGCTGCAAGGAATTCATCAGTTTAGTTCTATGACAATGACTTTTAATAAATGTGTGCTTTTGAGGTTTTAACATTATTCCTTTAGCTCAACAGTACAGCATGACACTACCAGTGCCAAGGCCATGGGTTCGATTCCCAGGGAAGGCAGGAACTGATAAAATTAATTCCTTAAATGCAGTCTAAGTTGTTTTAGATAAAAGTGTCAGCTAAATGTATAAATGTAAGTCAATTCTCCTTAAGTTATCTTAGCAGAGTAACCACAGAATCGATTAACCGCAACTGTGCTGCAAAGTTAAAGTACTACTTTTAAGAGTCCTCAAAATAAATATTGTAAAACATTCCTTGCAATACAAATTAATATAGCTATATTACACAATAAGCTATAATGCAGTGATTTGGCCGCAGGTAATCATAGCTGTACTGATACTGACTGTGGAATGCACAGCAGTTCAATAGTCAAGAAGTGAATTTTGAGTAACTTAAATTTTAGATACAATATTGACAGCTACTTTGTCAATGAAAATAGTTTAAAACTCATCTGTTGATCTGAGCATCAGTTTCTGAATATAAAATAAGAAGTTTAATTTATATAGCACTTTTCCAAAGCTCAAAGCACTGAATGAATCCGTGTTTTTGAACAAATTGTTTTAAATGAACAATTCAATGACTCACTTATGACTGTCATATATACTGTGTGTGTATATATATATGTATATATA